TGTTTTTGTTAGGTCTGGCCTAAGACACTGATATAATGCCCACACCCCCATTTGCCTAGATTTGTCCCCTGGTAATGAGGTCCCCAGTCTTTGACATACCTCTTTAAGAGGGAAACAACAAGCGTGGTAGAACCCCTTCAAGCAAGGATGGAAGTAGCACAGTAGAGCAACCCCTCCCTACTCCCCAGTAAGGCTGGTGCTCCAGGAAGTCAACAAGGTATAGAAGGAAGATCAGAAATTTGCATGGTATTCCCAGAGGGCAGGACCAAAGTGAGGGTGGGAAAGCTGTTAAGGAGTCATATTTCTAACACAACATGAAGAAAACTTCCCCATGGCACTGCAATTCAAAGTGGGATAAATGGCCATGTGACAGTGCAGTGTCCACATTGCCAGGGCAGAATACGGAATAAACAGCTGCTCTGCTCCAGAAGTCTAAGCCCTGGTCTGTACCCATCTCTATTTAAAGCACTGAGATAGGGACACAGTCTGTCTCTCTCTAGACCTTGACTTGGACTACTAGCTACAGCCACCCTCTCTCTCTATCCTACCCCCAACTCTCCCTTCTGTGTTGACACTCATTTTCTGTTGTGGTTTTTATTTGCATGTCCTCCCAAAGCCTTGTGGGCTCACAGGCAGGGGCTTTTTTGGATTATGGGTGCACTGTGGCTGATTTGCTGTCAGGAGGTGGGCTCTGGTTGAAAGAGGTGAGTCACTGGGGTTGTGGACTAGAAGGGTACATTTCTCTCCCTGGCTCTTCCTTTCCCTTTGTCTCCTGGCCACTCTGAAGGTGAGCAGCTTTTCTTCCAACATGCTATCCTGCCTTGGACCCAGCTGACTATGGACTGAAACACTGCTAAATAAATCCTTTCTCCCTGTGTAGGGTATTTTGTCCCAGAAGAAGGAAGGTGACTAAGATATTCTCTGTGCCCAAAGTACCTCTCTTCTCAGATTGGAGGCATAGTGTGTCTGCCCACCTCTCTGGCTCCTATGGCTTTTATTTCCTGAAGGCTTTGGGCTGTCCTGTGCAATGCCCTGGCTTGCTCCTGACTTGCTTCCATCCCTACTTGTGCACAAATCTTAAATGCACAGGGAATGAGCACCTCTCTCAGACTGAGAGCCCAAAAATGGGATAAACGGCCATGATAAACCTTACCCACATTAATGATCCTGGCTAAGAAAACTAACCTCTAAGTACCACAGTTTATCTGTCTGCTTTATTTATAACAGCAAAAATTTGAAAGTTCACTTCTAACAATAGAGCATTAATTAATATGAAATATATTCATATGGGACTGTTCAGTATGTAGCAATGTCACAGAATATTTAGTAATGTGGAGAAATGTTCATGAAATATTAAGAGAAATGAAATTACAAAATACTATCCATTATAAGTGCATTTCCTTTTTTTACCTGGTACCAGGAATTGAACTTAGGACCTTGGGCTTGCCAGGGAGGCGAGGTGCTACTGAGCTAAATCTCTGGCCCATACAGAAAAGCATACTAGTAAAGGAAGAGAGACTAAAATTACACACATCATAAAGCTAGGAGTAAATATTCTCTATTCTTTTCATATTTCAAAAAATTGCCCATAGTAAATATGTAATGCTTTTAAACTAGGAACAAAGATATTTTTAAAATCCTTACTCCTACCATTTCAATTTTTTCCTGATTAAAAAAAAAACCCACAATGTCATAAGCTAATAAAGGACACATTAAAGGAAGTCCATTACATCATCTTATTTATGCTTTCATAAAGAGTAAGAACTTGCCATAGTTTGAACATGGAGAAGTAAAAAGGTCAGCTAAGAAAACTGGACTAATTGAAGGTCACATCATGAAGCTAGAGACATGACTAGACTCCCAAAGGATCAATTCTTGAACCCCAGTAGGGACCAAACATTTTCTACTGCCACCCTGCCCATCCAGTTCCCCTCGGAACAAAGCACGCCACGCGCCACCCACAGGTCATTATCTGGCCACCCTGTCAGGCTGAGCTCCACATGGTGCTACACTGAAAAAGCTGCCAGCATAGCTGAGGCCCCATTCATCCAGTTTTGTCCCTTGGTAATGAGCTCCCCCGCTCCCTCCTCCTCACACCGGAAAGGATTGGACACAGAGATTAGCCAGCCAGAGAAGCCCCATGTGAATGGCCCGTCCAGCAACCCAGGAATTTGGCTATGGCTCGGCCACAAGAGGCCAAGGCAAACAATTATTTCAGTGGGAAACATCAGCTTGACTCAGGACAGATTGCTTCATTATACCCTGGGTGTAGGGGTCTCTCCGGTGGCCACGGGTGTGCAGACAGCTGCCTTCTAGTGTCCTACTCTACTGGCCACCAGGGGCAGGTCTTCAACGCACACTGATCACTTTTCCCTCTGTGCACATGAAAAAGCCTATGTTTTACATTTGCAACCCGTTCTATTCCCAGTTCAGTGTCACACTGTAGGAAAGAGTTCACCGGCTTCTCTTGCACACAGATCATTCCACCCCAAGGGTTCGCATTTACACCTACGATCCCAGGGTCGATTCCTTCAGATATTCTTCCTCTTTGCAAAGAGTTAAGAGGCCATAATTCCTATCACTCTGTTCAGTGGGCTCCCCCAAATATTTTCTGAAGCAAAGCTAAATGACTGCAGGAACCAGCACCCAATTAGAGGAGACAAAGGCTGAAGCATTCTCATGATCACAAACATTTTTTTATGGCTTGTACAATAAACGAATGAGCCAGTTATTTTCCACACACACACACTATGGTCTCCTGAAATTGCTCCTGGAGAATTCAAACCGTGCATGGAATAAAAAAACTACCTATTGAGGCCAATCTGTGCAGCAGGCTTGCTCTCTGTTGCTCCCTCTACCCAGACCATGAAACCATTTCAGAGAGACTTAAAGCAGCTATCTCTCCACAGCTGTGTGCTGTTATGTTTTGGAGTCAGATCTGACAAGAGCTACCAAGAGGTCTACGCACCATGCAGACACTCAACCAACTCCTCAACTATTACAGAGGGAAACAGAGCCCAAGTAGAAGTAGGCTGAAATATTCTTCCTACCAAAGATTCCACAAATCCTATGGCGAAGACTCAGAATTCAGAACTCAGCCCTACTGTCCCTGCTGCCACTTCCTCCACCCCAAACCCAAACACCTCATCCTGCAGCTTTGCACACACAAACCTCCTCCCCTGGGGAAAAGCCAGGGCCTCGCTCACCAGCGGACCCTTCCATAAGAGGCAAGCTGGAAATCCAGGAAGCGTTTAGCATTGCTGAGACTTCAGGTGGAGTTGTGGGGGGATGGTCTTTCGACTAGATTCTGTCATCAGAGAGGAGCACTCAGTTTTTCACACTCCATTTCCATCCCTGTGCTGATTCATCTATTTGCTGTTATTGCTACTGGGGAAAAAGAAAAGAAAAGAAAAAGAAAACCTCCTCAGGGACCTAGCATGACATTGGTCAAGTCCCCGACCAACTGTGTGGTTGAACTCGGGAGACCTTTTGGCTACATGCTAGTCTGCCGTGGACTCATGCATGCTTTACACTGAAGCTTGAACAGCAACGAAAGATCAATAAGGACCCAGTGCCTGTCCACAGACACAATGGACATCCCTAACCATGAGGGAGGGGGCCAGCCACCTCTGCCCAAGCGGTACCCTCCATTACGCTGTGTTCCACAGCTAGGTCACGATGACAGGGGAGCACATCCTCCCCACCTGCCTCTCGAACCATCTGTCTGCACAATAGTGGTTCAATGAAAGCATCAATTCCACAGCCAGGATGGTCACAGAGAAAAACCGGCATTCTGGTGTGTCCAAGCCATGGGGTCTCCAAAAGCCTGAGCCCTGTAAGGCAGAAGCCTGGCAGATATGAAGCTATTTTTGTCAAATTCAGTTCAAATTCTGTTTTACCTGAAACCTACAGATTGTAATTAACTTTATACCTCAAGGCACACTCCCACTAGGCACGAAGCTTCCCCAGGTAGAGGTAATTTTCTCAAAGCTCAGCACTCAGGGGCTGGGGATTTACTGGAAGGATCCACCTGCCTTAGAACATTGATTATACCTGGGAGATAAAGGGTGGAGAAGCACAGCAGGCCAGCCCTCACCTCACACATGAGCATCCAGCAGTGCCTACCAGCAGCATCCCAGGGGACTTGGCCCCATGAGCAACTTCACTGTTGGTTTTTTTTTTTTTTCCTCCTTTCCATACTAAGGATAGGATCTAGGGCAGTCTCACATCCCCAGACATGTTTTATTTTTTATTTAGAGACAGGGTCTCACTAAGTCACTAAGGCCCAGGCTGGTCTTGGGCTTTCCTGTGATCCTTCTGCCTCAGCCTCACAGTGTGCTGGGATTACAGACTTGTGCCATCATATCCAGCTCCCTTAGCTGTTTCTTACTCTAGACCTGCAGGCACTTCTGTCTTTCCGGTATAAAATGGTAGTGCAAATTAACTTTAAAATATAAGCACATACTTCATCTCTTCTAAAAATCCAGTCCCGGAGTATACCCATGTTACTGAGAATACGCGAGTCACCAACTTCGAGTTATACCAAAGCGATGGCAATGCGATCGCCTTTCCTTCTTAGTTACGAAAAGACAACAGCCAGGCGATTCTTTTGATTCTTCAAAGCTGAGCTTTCCAATACGCGGACTTCATATATGCCTTGGTGACTAATTCCACACAGCCCAAAGCCCCCGGCTCTCAAGCAGTCAAAACGCACCACTCCTCCACGACCTCAACTTCCCCTGCAAGGCTGTTAAGGCTTCAGCCCACAGGAGCGCAAATTCTGCTGCAATTAGAATCACCTGCAGTGCTTTAAAAAAAAAAAAAAATGCTACCGCCTCAGATGGCACCTTCAATCAATGACACCAGCATTTCTGGGGTGCATCCCAGGCCTCAGTGTTTTCCAGAGACCTCCACACACGCACGCAGCCACCAAGAATGGTGGGTGCGTGGCAGACTGAAGTTCCCGCCACTCCAGTGCGCACAGATGGGGCAGCTCCTACCTATGTAGAGCGAGGAGTCCTTCCTCCGCACGTGGTCGTCGATGTAGGAGACCCCGAGGGGCTGCACGGGGGTAGCACCGATGCCCAGGAGCACCTGGGCCCCAATAAGCAGCAAGTACATCATGTTGGTGGCCGTGCGGTTGCGGCAGATGAGGTCGGGGTCCGGGCCCTCGTTACCGCCCGAGCCGTTGGCAGCACAGACGTCGCGGCCCTCTGCGCCCCAGCGGATCTCGCCCGCCTCATACTTGTACTGGTGCGTGAGGAACTCGGGCAGCGCGGACAGCAGCGCGCCCAGCGCCATCACGATGCCTCCGCAGCCGATGAGCCTCGGCCGGTGCCCGCGCGCCCCGAAGTAGCTCACGAAGAGGATGAGCGCCAGGTTCCCGATCTCGAAGCTGCTGGCGATCACGCCCACGTCTGCGCTCTGCAAGTTGAACCTGCGCTCCAGGGTGGTCAGGACGCTCACCTGGGGGTGGCAAAAGGAGACATTAAGGCTGGTGCAATGACCCTAATCCAAAGCTTAAAGAATTCTTCCCCAAGGGTAAAGAGGACTTTGTCAGCACTTATTTCCAACTCGGAAAGTTCTGTTTCTCCTCTGGAAGCACTCCAAGCCTTGCACCTGCCCACCATGGACGCCTGAAGCCCCACAAAAGTCCCGAAATATGGTTTACACACACTCCCAGGTAGTCTACAGATCAAGGCCATGCTGGGAGGGCACCAGACTCAGCAAAACCCACCAAAAGAAAATAAAAACGAGCAAAAACCACACAGTAGAAGGCATGCGCTGGATTTGCTCAGTAGGGTCCTCACTCTCTACTCCTTGTGGAAATGTGGGTTTCCCCTAAAGGCCAGCAGGTAAACATCTCTGATTGCTCTAAGCATTACAGCCCTGCCAACGACCCCCAGATGCAGGATTGTTATAATTTACCTCACCTCGGTATTCTTGTCTGTCCTATATTTGTTTAACAACTGTTTGTGGAACATCTGCTGTTTGCCTAGCAATGCCTGAGACAGAAAGGATAGAAAAAAATGAGACAGAGCCGCCACCTGGCCTTCGGAAGCCCTGGCAGGAAGGTACCATGTCCCCAACTGTAACAGTGATGGAAGTGACATTCATGATGCGAAGTGTACACTGGCGACCACGAGGAGATGCACTACCAGAGGGCTTGTGGAGGAGGAGGGAAGAGGAGGTGGCTTCCCTGCCACGTCTGCAGTCTGCGGGCTCCACGAGGGTGTTACATGCAGGACAAGTGTCCCTGTCGGGAGATCCGGCAGCTGAGCGAGGTCCTCACTGGCAGGGAAGAGCCAGGCAAAGGGAAGAGGAGAGCAAATGTTGATTCTGTGGCAGGTGGGATGAGGGCGGGTTATAAGGAGCTGCAACTGTCACCGTGAGGAATTCAGGCAACCCTAAGAGGTGTATAGAAAGAATGCTTATTATGGAGTGAAGAAAACCTGGGTGAATCCCTGCCTTTCCTTAATCAGCTGTGATCTCAGTCGAATCACTTCACCTCTCCCAACCTTTATTCTGTGAAATAGGAATCGTGACATCCACCTGGGAGGTGCACGTGAAGGTTAGAAGTACTGTAGGGACGTCACGCAGCACAAGGCAGCCTCTCCTTCAAGAGCAGGGGCACACAGAGCAGCGGTGTGGCATGGGAGCGGGGGCGAAGCGAGGGCTCCGGGGCCAGTCCTCCTGGCTCTATTCTGACTGTGTCACTCTGTGTTTTGTGGCTTCTCTGTCTGCAAAAATGACTTTGAGAATGCTGCTTCCCGAAGCTGGTGCCAGCACTAAACCACACGTCCATGTAAATGGCAGGTAAGGGTTAGCAGAACGATGATCATTTTCTTCCTTTATCTTTGGTCACCAGGAAGCATTCAATCCTCTAAAAGCCTAAGGGCTACACCAGGGCAAGTGAAAGAGTGGATGAGTGTCAGCAGAGGAAACAACAGGGCTGTTCTTGGGAGAAGCCATCTGGCTGCAATGGAAATGAACAGGAAAAGATGGGAGAATATTTTCAGGAGCTGAGTTATATTTTAGGGCAACTGGGCTGGGTCTGCTGACCAATACTGAGGAAAGGAAGGGAAGCCACAAGGAGCTAGACTTCCATCCCATGTATAAATAGGGACAAGGTTCTAAATTTCCATGAGTGCACATGCAAACCCCTGTGATGTCTAGCATGCTCTACCTGCTCTATTATTCAAAGAACAGTGTAGCCAGCTCAATCCTCCCCGTCTCCTTTTCAATCACACACATTGAGACAGGTTCCCTGAGCCCAGGGATCCTCAATGCCACCTTAAGATTGGAAGCACATGGTTCGCAAAGAAACCTACAGGTGCATGGGCTCAGGAGGAATGGTGTACCTGACTCAGTTGGTCTGGGCAGCAGCCTGGGAGGTTTTTCAGGCTCTCCAGCTGATTCTAAGAAGGGTAAGAAGCACATTGCTAATGCATAGACACCATGGTGGTCTCTCTGTCAGCATGGGTTGTGGGCCAGCTCTACACAGCAGTTGTGACACCTAAGTACTCCTTGTATCACCAGAGTTCCAACTGTGGTTCCTATTCTACTGTGCCTTTTTTTAAATGGTGCAACTAGGGATTGAACCTGGGCCTCAAGTGTGCTAGGCAAGTGCTCTTCGTACTGAGCTACATCATGGCCTTTCTATTGTGCTTTCAAATCAAGGCCAGCTCACAACTCATTCAGCCCTAGTGACATGAGTAGACTGTTATTTTTCAAATGCCAATCACTTCTCAGCCCTTTGGCTAAGATCAAGTGTATTTTTCAAATGCCAGTCATCTGCAGTTGCTGACAACACAAGTTTGGCTGGTCCTGACCTCATTAAAATGGCTTTCAGGTACCCTCAAAGATGTTCTGTCTGAAAGTTCTGGACAAAAACAAAAGCTTCCTATATTCCCATTTCTGTCCTAACACGTACCTATATAATGGAATACATCCTGTAACAGAAATTTAGAACAGGTACTGTGGCATAAGAGCAGACAGGATGGCAGCCTTTAGGTTAGGACATAGGTCCTGTGGGGTTTTACCCAGGCTATTGTGCTGGGTCTCAAGAGATGCCCAGGGGTGGCTGGATACATAAATGGGGGCAGGGGAGAGCCTGGGTCCCCTGGGTGCAACAGAGTCATCCTGAGCAGTCTGATAATGTATTCATTAACTTCCTGCTGCTCTGAAAAAATAAGGCCAACAATTTAAAGGAGGAAAGTTTTATTTCAGCTCATGATCAACGGAGGTTTGAGTGCTTGATCACCTGGTGGTGCTGTTTAGAGTCTGCTGCGAGACAAAACATCACAGGAGCAGTACATGGTGGAGAAAAGCAGCTCACCTCCTGGTGAGGAAAGGGTGAGGGTGGGGAAGCCAGGGTCCCAAGGTCCCTTTCATGGGCCCACCCCCAATGACCTAACTTCCTCCCATTAGGCCCCTTGTCTTAAAGCTTCCACTACCTCCCAACAGCACCCCAGGCAGGGGTCTGAGCTTTTCACACGCAGGCCCTTGAGAGATATTTAAGAGCTATACCTTAACAGGTGAGTCTGCAGCCAGATGACCTTCACTGGTGGTGAAGGGCAATAAAATGGGAGGAAGCATCAAAGCCCAAGTCACATTTTATTTCTGCCACCAGGTATAATGACATACACACTAGCCAGAAGATCTGAAACATGATAACTGTTTCATTCAGCAGCTGTGCCCATCATAAAATTCCACACAGGTGTGCACGTTCACGACGACAGATAAGGGTGGTGGGGACAGAGACAGCTGTGAGCAAAGCACAAACCAATCAGTTCTTCTAGAGCTGGATCAATGCCTGTAGCTCTTGGTCCTGCTCAAACCTGCTCTTTGCTCTTTACGGAGCAATCACAGCGAGACAGGAAGTAGCAAGGTCTTTCCCTGCTTGACCTGTGACCTGAGAAGGCCACAGGGGACAGTTGTCTGGGTCTATAGTTAAGTTACACAAACATTCTGAAAGGATATTTTGTGGATCAATTAGATCAGAGGCTAATATCTTCACTCATTTAAAACACAATTTTGAGAAGATGGACTAATTAAGTATGTATGAGGCCAGAAAGCCCACTTGTGGCTTTTATGTGGCAGTGAACAATTCAGCAATGAGGGAGCTGCATGCCAAAGGGAGCGGTTGCCTTTACTTAGTGGGTAACAGTGCTCATGGAAATATCTTAATAATTAGAGTCAAAGGGTTGGCGGCTCCAGGAGAGGGAAAGAGGCACCTGGGCCAAGCAGAAACTAGATATTAAACTAGAATGCAATATTTATCAGGTTTCTACTAGCTTAATGCAAAGGGAAAATGCTTGAATTTCAGTATCTTCTTTGTTAAAAATATAGATTCCCAAACCCTGAGATGCAACCTGGGAACATGAGGAATTTTAGGGTTTTCTTGTTTGGTTTTATGTGTGGTGCTGGGGATGAGAACTGAGGGCCATATGCACGCTGACCAAGCCCTATACCACTCAGCCACACACCCAACACAAGATTGTACAGAGATCCCTGGGTCTCTGATGCCTGGTTGGGGCTAAACACCCCCAGTCTTCCAGATATACCTTCACCATCAGTCTAGGGCAGTGATGGCAAAGCTTTGAGAGTCGAGTGCCCAAACCACAACACAAAACTCATTTAATGCTAAGTGCCACTGCTGCAATCAAATCAGAATACTGGGGTTTGAGTTTAGACAAAACAACTCATACATTAACATCTTTTGCCCTAAAGGAAAAACAACATGCATGCTATAGATTCACCACCACTGGTCTAGGGCTACATGTTCAATCTTTATTGGCAGCATAATCACTCACAGAGGGTATTAGAGTGCTATGCTGTAATTCCAAACTCCTGGGGTGGGGCCTGAGAATCTGCATTAGTAACAGGCTACCAGGAAATGCTACTGCTCCCTGCAACCCACTTTGAGAACCCTTCTCTATGGCTTTCCTCCCCTCTGCAGGCCATGCTCAGCCCCCGTTCAGGAGACGGAAGCGTTTTCAGTTAGGTGTGAATGGAAAGTGCCCAACAGGTGGACTTTGCCCCATGCTTTCACAATTGCTATAGGACAGGAAGTGCCCAGAGGCCTTGAGCGGATGAATATGAGCCCCTCCCATCCTCAAGAGGAGCCTTGGCAGGGGCAGGGCCATCAGACACTTATTTGATAAGAAGCTCAGGATTGCCTTCCCAGAGAAGAATCTGCTTTCTTACTCCACCTCGGGCAGTAGAGATGGGTCCAGTGGGCACCCGGAGGTCCTGCAGCAGAGCATCTAGCACACAGGTGCACACCCAAGAGCCAGGCTCATTGCTGGGGTGCAGGCTCACCGTGACTTCAAGAACCTCAGACTGCATTCCACACCATGAGTGCCTGCTTCATCGGTGGTGCAGAACATGCACAGTGACTACGATTAGGAGACAGACTGAAAAAGAAGCGGAAACAAGCAACACAGGAACAACACAGCCTACAA